GGAACAATCCAGCGATTATCAACTTCCATGTCCTGTTTATTCACATTAATAGTTGTTGATCTGCCATTGTCCATAGTGGATCGACGACGATACAGTGGATAACCATCATTTCCGGTAATTGTTTCTGCTACTAATGCGCGTGGATAACGCTTTGAACATTTTCCGTCGACCATACACGGAGCATTGATATTAAATATTCCGCAGGGACCATGAATCATGTTCTTAGTAACAACTTCATGCAGACTTGGATCTTCTTGTTCATCAGGAATTTCCGCTGATATCACATCATCGATTTCATTGGATCTTAACTTTTCAACCAACCAAATGAGAATATGTGCGTGTGGCAATCCGCGTTTCTGCCACTCCACGGAATACATCCAGCAGCGCGTCTCGCCGAAAACGCAATGCTTCACAATGAAATCCATCAGTGATTTCAATTTCTGTTTGAAGACTCTCGCTGTGATGTCATGACCATCGATGGGTGATTGGCCAGGAAACAACTCCTGTTGGATTTCTGTCCACTTGGGATTGCAGGTAAACGTGATGAATAAATCTGCTGTGCCATAATTGCGAACATACGACATGGCATCTTGAGCATATTCATGCATATGTCGCGGACTCCCGACGTAGGTTGCTGGGAGAATCGTCAATCGGCCCACATTTCGTGCATTTCCATCAGTCCTAATGGCATCTCGAAGATGAATATACTCTTCAGAGCGGAGTTTTTTTCTGGTTCAATCTGATGAATAACAATCGCTCAGTTTCAACTTTGACATACATACCGACTGCATATTGGTGAAATAGACGCCGGCATTTCAAGATGTGATTGTCCTCACCTTCACGAACCATCAGTCGATATGAATAATAGTTCATAGAACTGATATTTTTGTTCGATTCAGCGCCTGTCAATAAGTTTACTTCAATAAAATGAACTAAAAAAATTTGGTCTGGTATTTACCTGGACGTGGATTTATCATCTTGATCGAGAAATGACAGCCGTCTTCACCTTGCCAAAATATGATGGGATATTGCAAAGCATCATATGACCGGTGCGTTTCATACACACGCTGCAGTTGATCATTTCGCCGGTGTAGAATGATATCACGGGATTCAAAATGTTCATCAACGACGACAATGGCGACTTCATCAATAGTTGGCACATTGAGACGTCTTGGGTGTTCTTTCGTAGGCCTCTTGTCGGCTCTGATTACAATTTTGTGATCATCAGATGGCATGCGGTCCAGTGCAGCTTTGAACAATTTAACCAGTTTATTGTGTTCATGGAAAAAAGTTTGCAATTGTTTCACTACTGATTTTTTCACCGAACTGTTAATCGCACAACGCGTATCTAGTTCTTCTGATGAATTACCCATGAAATAAATCTGCAGGAATTTATAGTCTGCATCCGACGGTGGCAATAGCGAACCTGCTCGATGATATATCTGACCTTGAATCTGTAATTAATATTAATAATGTTGTTGTGGAATAACCATAACATAAAAGTGTCGAATTTTGTGAAAGATGATTGTGTTAGAAATACCTTAAAAGTGGGCATGAAATTGTCCCGAACTATATTTGTTGCGCCAAACGAAGTCATTTGGAAGCAACTGTTGTAACTTTGGATGTGGCTGAGGAATTGGTTGGATTCGGTTCCTTTTCCAGAAACCAATGAGCGCAGTGGCTCCGGTGGGGGAACCAATGGCGCCAATTTCACTTTGCCATTTGCACAACACAATCCAGGGGTTTCATGTCTGTATTTCAATGCTGTACAATGTGAACATACAACACTCATCGATCCGATAGCAACGGATTGATCTGCACTGTAATCAGTTGTCGCGTTGTAACGGAATGCTGCTCGATAAGTATTCAACGCACTATATGTTTGTCTTCATACACATTGCAGCGCGATTGGCTTCAACCGACCGATAACGTCTCATTCGAAGCATATCATCTTCGTTTGAATTTTCTCTCTGTTCTTGCGTATATGTTGAACGTGTTCGTGATAATCGATTCCGTTCAATTTCATTTCGATGTTCGCGTTGCTCTGCATTTTGTGCAGATCGAAAATTGCTTTGATGTGCAGCATTGCGAGTACGGCGACCTAATTTACTTCGTCTTATGGGCGGCATTGCAATGCGAAGACGCGAACACACAGCACTTACACTAAACTGAAACAATGTAATCGTATTGTCCGCGACAAAGAACCATGGAACGCACACGCGAACACACAGCACTTAAAGTGAACTGAAATAATACAAAGAACCATGGAAAGCAGCTAAGCGCGGGGCAAGTCGGGCAAGCGCGACGACCGAAGCAAACGATTTAGTTCGAAAACCTGCCACCGAGTATCGTAGATGGCGCTCGAAGTGCGAGCGTCACGGTAGCGCTACGGGTGCCCCGTTTTTTCAAATTCGTGCTCCCCGGAGCTCCGTCTCAGGACATAGAGCGGCCAAAAACCTTCTCTGGTTCGTTGTCCGTCTTTAAAAAAAAAATCAGCCAAATCGGTCCAGCCATTCTCAAGTGATGCTCTTACCAACGAACAACATTTCATTTTTATTATATAGATATAATTGTATGTAGTTTTTCATTATTGCAGTCAGTCAAGTTCAGTCCGGATTCTCATTGTAACCGTTGAGTGAAAAATAGTAAAGAGGCACAACTGTATATAAAATTGCGATACCCATAAGTCCTCTTTCTTTTTCTAAGGCGACATCTATATTTCTATCTCACTTGCCGTAGTTTTCCGTGCGGCGCCGACAAAAACAAGTTTATGGATAGTGCTGCCATCGTATTTTAATTTTGGACTTAATACTATTACGAAAGTGTGACGTCATTCACGTCTTATCCCGACCCCAAACAGCTGATGGGAGTTTGTTTACCTTATTTGTAACATGGCGTTAATAAACTTGTCCGACCTTTTCGAGCATTTTCTGAAGAAATTACCGCGTTTGGTAAATGCGAATATACCTAGTTAGTGGAAATGTGCTTGGGGTGTAATTTAATGGACATGAACAAATAATGCTTAGAGAATGAAGGAAGTATGAAAAGAAATGCAAGTGGAGGTAAGGGAATAATGCTTTGCATAAGGTTTTTTATAATAATATGTGATATAAGTGCAGGTAACTCAACATTTTATTTTAGGTTAATTTAAACGAAGAAGTTGTAGCAAGTGGCAATTTAGTAACAGCATATCTGTGCTGTTTTGCTGTATGCAAATAACAATATTCGTAAAATCGAGAGAAAAACTGATACAGTATCCTAATGGAAAGAGCCAATCTCATCTATTGAAACAACGCAGTTTCCGTGTTGGAATTGTTTCCGAAAGTGCAATGTGGTGCCACGAACAGAGGATGAGATTGAAAGCACTAAACAGGTAAGATTAATTTCCACACAATTTTTAAATTCTATTTAAATAAGCAATGTATGAAACACTTAGCCCCATGCAGATAGGTGGTAGTCCCCAAACTTTCTGCACTCCAGTTAGCAAGTACCAATGGAAGTGCAACATATTTGTCGTGACGATCTGTCAAAGCTAATTTGCTGCTGCCGTTGTTGTTGGTTGTTCATACTTGTGTAGCCGGGCCAATTTGGCGGTGATTGTGAATGAAAATGTCAACATGACAGCACCGACCCGCACTGCACAACAAGGCAACGGCACCGTACTACACCTATCTGACTGGGGCTTTAGACCCGACTGCTAATTGCAAATAAATATGGTGAAGGACATGGCCTGGGGATGTGAGTTGCAGAGTCAAGGAGTCTGTTTGAGGTTGTCCGATGAGATACGATTTGAAACTGTCAACCTTTAAATTAACAAACGTCAATTAATACCTATTAATCTAGAAATGCCAACAATACAAACTTATTCTTATTCCTGGATAGTAGATAATGAGATAAGAAGAGTTCTTAAAGCTACTTCTTTGTGATCACAGGAAATTATTAATTTATTATTATAAATGTACCTTTCTGAAAATTACAGCACTTTTTTTTACTAAACCAATTGAAAAATTGTTTTTAGATGTCCTGCTTCTTTCTATTCCTCTTCGCCAAAAAAAGGAATTTATACGGAATAAAGTGGATTCTGGCTTGGATTTCTCTGGACTAAAGGAAAGGAATTTAGATGGAATAAAAGTGGATACAGTGGGAGTTAAACTCGCGAGTTAAATGATGAACGTAAAACTAATTCTAACCAGAATATGACTTTGTGGGAATGGTTTTTTAGGTATGGCTTTAGGTATGGCTTCGTGGGAGCAGATACTAGTTATTAATGATACAAGTTCGATATAATCATCATAATGAAACGCGTGTAACGTTAAAATCACGAGGTGTAACACGTAGTTTTAGTTCCACAGGTTTCATTAATAATGTTCATATTGTATCATTCAAAATTTAATCTACAACGGTCCAAACAGATTTTATTTGCATTTTTCATAAAACAAAATTCAAAATTATCAAGTGCCCATACTAGTGGATGTCATGGTAATCACGTTTGTCAATTTGGCGTTCGCGATGGAAAATAGCAGTAATTATTATTTGCGTGCTTGTTCCGACACGCCGATAATCGCGCGATTCTCAAGAGGACCTTATTTTTATTTACATGAAAATGTTTCAAATCGTTCAGACAGAACCGCGCAGGATTAACGCTGTGTCTGAAGAAAGCGTAATGAATTCATAAGATCTTATGAAATCCAAAGTGGACATGGTAAATCTGCCATAATGACAACGTCGTAGATTACAGAAATAAAAAGTATCCATTTGGTCATAGAATACTAGATGAATTAAGAATGAGCAAAAATTCATATTTGATGGTAGTTCAAATGTGAAAAGGTCACACCATGCTTTTCATTAAATACAAGAACTTGTTCTTATGATGAAAAGATCTTTGTCATGTGGACTCCTAAATTGCGATAGATGTAAGAATGGAGAACAATTCAAGTTTAATATGTTTGTAACCTTTTAGGTAAATTATTAAAACAGTTAGTATTGTATTGTTATCTGTTAGTTTTCTTAGTAAGTGATTTTAGTTTTTAATTAAATATGTATTGATATTTACACATATGGAAAATGAAATAAAACTATTTGTACATCTTCCTTAATTTTAATTCATTTAATCAGTGGCCAATGGTAAACATTTTTTTAATTCTCATATTGAAAATCTAGTGGTGCACAAGTTTGAACAATACAGTGGAATGCTCTCTCAAATGAGGCATGATGCCACTTTGTCTAATGTAATGATCCTGGAAATATATCACTCGCAAAAGTTGTTGCTGCACTGCTTGTAATCAGAAGATAAAGCTTTTTTAAAGGAATAGCACCTTCAATTTCCGTGCAATCCAGCACAATTCTGCCATTTGTGATGTCTTTGAAGTATGTCGATATAAAAAGATAATTTTTCTCTCTACTAGTCATATTACTCATAAGGCCCGCGTACAACATTACAAGTAGCACATATAAATATGTGACGATAATGTTTTGCATTCATGTTACCTACTCACTGTAAATCTAAAACACTTAAAATATTTTAAATTTAATCGAAACCATCAACGTACATAATAGATACAACTCGGTTTTTTCAAGTGTTCGAAATTTTATCGGAAATGTTGAAGTGAAAGGACCTGCTTCCATGGCTCCGGGTTCTTCGTTACATTTCTTACTGGTCAAACTTTTTTGGTTTTTCTGAAAATACACTTTCAAATTTCAGAAAAATGTTTATTAATACACACCTTTTCCACGTTTCTGGATAAAGAAATTTCCACGTGCCCTCTTTATTCCATGGGAATAATATGGTAGTGGTGACCCAACATTTTGTTACCATCACTCTACTTCGGATCTCGATTGGCTCTACTACAATTAATATTGTCCAAGGTGAGTAGAGTAATAAACTTTTGTAGAGAAGAGTATTTATTACTTTCTGAACTATCATTTGGCGTACAAATAGGGCTTTGGGTTTCAAAGATCTTACCTGCACATCTTCCACTTGTAAAATTGTTTATTTTCTGCTGGAAATCGGAACAACTGCACGTTTCCCGTCTTGAATCATGTGGACATCCACAACAGTAACACTAAAAAGGGAAATCGGAAACATAACGCCATTGCAAAACGCGCACTAAAAATGAATTTGTGTTTTGTCCATATATATAAGAGAAATATATGGTTTTGTCGTGAATGAATTGTTTTATTTCCATCAGCTGTTTATTTGGCAGCCCTGTCGTGACGTCATCACCAACACTTTCCAATCAATTACGTCACTGAAACATCTCGGGGCCTCGGCACCGAATAAAAGTCAAGTACTCTGTGATCTCGGTGCCTTTTGACAACTGGCGCATCTATTTGTCGGTGCCCGCACAAGCCTCATATAAATTGATCAAGTTGTGTCTCTTATTACTTTTCACTCAACGTTGTAACGTTCGAAAAATAAAAGTTGTTTTTTTAAAAATCGTTCTCCATAAACGAAAAACATAATTAGCGCAGTCTGTAGGATTCACAAAACGAAATTTCCACTAGTGTGACGACAAAAATCGCGTCCGGAAAATTCGGTTCGTTTTAACGATTTATTTGTGAAGTTCAAAATTGGATTACGAGAAGAGCAACGTTTTGAGAAACCCAGAGACGTAGGAGACACACACCAGAGACGTAGGACAGCATCGCCGAAACCTCGCAAATTGATTTTTGGACAACATCGCCGAACTTCAATCCTGGGAACAATTTGGACCGCATCGCCGAATTCACCCAAACCGTAGGATAAGCAACGTAATTTAAGAAAAGAGCATGAAAATCGGCATCATATTCCTGTAGGTCAAATATTCCTTTATTCTAATATTTTAAATATCCCCTACACAGTTCTTTTTCTACTCACGCAGTATAAAGAGAAAGTTTATTAAAATCATTTTATACTTTGTAAAAAACGTAATTTATGCCTTCAGAATTAGAAAAACTAACAGAACAACTTGCTAACGCTTTTACAACTTATCGTAGCGAACAAAGTGAAATAATTGACGAAATTGAAAATCCAGAAATAATGGCACAAGCGCAGCCAAAAACCGTAAATTACTCATTACTTAAATTGTATGTAGAAACTATTCCAAATTTTGATGGTAACCCACACACATTAGGCATTTTTATCGATAATTGCGAAAACCTAATATTGAATTTTTATGATCCAGTAAACGAAACTTTGAATAATTTTATGTTAAGAGCAATAATAAGTAAATTAACAGGTACAGCTTTGAGTCTCATAGGTTCCAGAATAGAATTAAGAACGTGGAACGAAATTAAAAACGCACTAAACTTAAGCTTTGGTGACCAGCGCAACATTGATTGTCTTGTACAAGATTTAATTATTTTGCGACCTAATAAAAATGAAACTCCTTACAATTTTGGAATGAGATGTCAACGCACGTAGTCTCATTTTTCACAATTAAATTCATCACATTTAACCGTCCCAGAAAAAACCTTAAATCAAAAAATTACGACGAATTAGCTTTAAAAACTTTTATCAGTGGATTAAGTGGCCAAATTCAAAATAACGTTAGGCTTAGGAATCCCGAAAATTTAGAAAAAGCAATGTCACTATTAATTGAAGAAGAAAATTTTTTATACAGACAAAATAGAGGTAACTTTTTAAATACGCAATGCTTGGTAAAAGTTTATATTTTAGTACACTCGACCTGGCAAATGGATTTCATCAAATCGAGATGGAACCGACAGACATACAAAAAACAGCCTCTTCTACAGAAAATTGGTACATTACGAATTTAAAAGAATGCCCTTTGGTTTAAAAAACGCTCCTAGCACATTTCAACGTGTTATGGACAACGTTCTAAGAGATTTACAAAACGAAATTTGTGTTGACCTCGACGACATCATAATTTTCAGTACAAGTTTACAAGAACATATCGATCGACTAAAACAGATTTTTGACAGACTTGGACAATCCAACGTTAAAGTACAGGGTGGAGCGCGGGAGACAGATGGAATTGGTAGAGGCGCCGTGCGTGGCGCATGCGCAACAGGGGTCTGGGAGGGGGTTTATCTGAAAGAGGGGAATGGGAAGTTTATGTTTTGTAGCTAATCAGTCGCAACAATGTTTTGGTCAGTGGAACATCGTACGTTTTGTGTCAAAGCCTATTTTGAGAATGGCCGCTCGATCGTACGCGTGCAACGTGCCTTCCGTTTGAGGTTTAATATCGCCCCCCCGTGGCCGAATTCCCGACCGAAATCGCATTCTTTCGTGGGTGAATGCATTCGAAACGAGTGGTAATGTGTCAACGATCAGAAGGGGGCCTCAGAACTCCGTCATTACCCCAGAAAACGTTGAAAGAGTTCGAGTCGCCATTCAACAATCTCCAAGGCGGTCAATTCGGAAACAGTCACAAGTCCTTGGCATTTCGAGACGATCTATGCATCGAATAATCAAAGAACACCTGCATATGCATCCCTACAAAATGGTAGTCGTCCAGGAATTGAAACCACGTGATTACGAAGCCAGACAAATCGCGAGTGAAAATATCCTTGCAGCACTGCCTCGAGACGCTGTTGTGTTCTTCTCTGACGAGGCACATTTCCATCTTAGCGGTTGTGTCAACAAGCAAAACATGCGCTATTGGAGCGAGACAAACCCCAGGGAACTCCATCAGAGGCCTCTTCACTCCGATAGGGTAACCGTATGGTGTGCACTTTCGAAAAATGGGATCATCGGACCTTATTTTTTTGAGGAAAATGACAGAGCCGTTTCCGTCAACTCGGCGCGTTATTTGACTATGATTCAGGAGTTTTTCTTGCATGCATTAGATGAAATGGGTGTGGATGAGGACGTCTGGTTCCAACAAGATGGGGCCACCGCCCACACAGCAAGAAGAGTGATGGAGTTTTTGAGAGGGAGGTTCCCCGGGCGCCTCATCTCCCTGAGAGGCGATTTGGACTGGCCAGCGCGGTCGCCAGATTTGGCCCCTTGCGACTTTTTCCTTTGGGGCTACCTCAAATCCAAGGTTTACAATGATCGTCCCAGGACCATAGAAGACCTCAAGAACAACATCAGGGCCAACATCGCTGAAATTCCTGTTGAAATGCTCGGAAGAGTTCACGAAGACTTCAGAAAACGTCTTGATCAGTGTATTCAGAGTGAGGGTGCCCATATGCCAGATACGCTGTTCAAAACCAAATAAATCTAAATTTCCAATGCTTACACGAGGTAAAAATAAAAAGTTTGAGAATTTTTCATGAATTAGTAATGTTTTTTCATTTTATAATCCATCTGTCTCTCGCGCTCCACCCTGTACAACTTGACAAATCAGAATTCTTAGATCAAGAAGTCGCCTATCTAGGACACAAAATCACTAAAGATGGAGTAAAACCAAACCCAGACAAAATTGACGCTATCAAAAAATTCCCAATTCCAAACACCCAAAAAGAAATTAAAAGTTTTCTAGGTCTTGTAGGATACTACAGGAAATTTATAAAAGATTTTGCCAAAATTACAAAACCACTAACGCTCAAGAAGAATTCAAAAATAATTCACGATGATAAATTCATTTCCGCCTTCAATACTTGTAAAAATTTATTAATCAACGCATCTATTCTTCAATACCCTGAATTCCAAATTAATTAGATGGCGCTTAAAGTTAGAAGAATATGACTATGACATTATTTATAAACCCGGAAAAATAAACACCAATGCAGACGCCTTGTCGCGCGTGCAGATAAACGCTTTTGAAACCGAATCAGTAATTAATAACCCCGGAGACATAGACGCAGAATCCTTAGAATTTTTAAGAAATTACGTGAACAAATGACAAATTTAGACGAATTCCCCGCACCTCCGGCTGTGGATGAACAACAACCAAGTACAAGTGAATTGACAATTAATGACCAACGACAAAGTCTCAAAATTCAAATTTTATCAGATATACAAATACAACCCCCTGTTCAACCTAGTAATAATATCTCAACACCCCAACACAGTACCTATAATGAAACAACAAATCCTGGAATCAAAATTTTTGACGAAATTATTAATAACAAAGTAAACCAAATTTTAGTATACCCAAAAGTTCACTTTAAACTTTAAAGAGGGACGACCCTCTCTCTGTAAATCTCCAGGAAAAATGGTCATTACTACGTCGGGAGATGATGAATGTAAATAATTTAAGAATTCCTAGGCATGTTGTGATACAAAACCCTATTCCAATACAAATGCATGGATTTTGTGACGCTTCAACCATAGCGTATGGTGCCTGCGTTTATTTAAGGGCAAGTGATGAACTTGGTCATGTAAACTCTCGCCTTCTCTTTGCCAAAGGCAAGGTGGCACCCCTCAACGGTACAACTATTCCTCGCTTGGAACTTTGTGGTGCTCAAATACTAGCAAAATTAATCCAACAATCGTCTATGGCCTTAGGTAGTGTTATTCATCAGCGATTTTGGTGGACCGATTCGGCTATCGTATTAGGCTGGTTGAATGGAGATACTGCTACTTTAAAAACATTCGTTTGTAATAAGAGTTGTAGAGATCCAGGAAATTACCAAAGGAGGTACTTGGTCGCACGTACCGACGGCAGAAAATCCAGCAGATCTGCTTTCCAGGGGGACTACTGTATCAAATTTTTCTAACTCATCTTTATGGTGGAATGGCCCGAAATGGCTCGTTTACCCCTCATCGCAGTGGCCTGTTGGCATTATCCACAATACCGATCTTCCTGAACAAAAGCAGAATATACATTGTGCGTTGGCGACTCAGGAGGAAATATCCTTTAGTCACTACTCAAACCAGTGGCGTATTTAAGGGGGGGGGGAGAGTTGGCTAATGCCCCCCCCCCCCCCCAGTCGAGTTTCCAAAATCAGCAATAGAAACCCTTGAAATACGCGACGCTACAATTTTTAAAAATATTCACACATTGCTTCTAATTCTTTGTACATTACCCGTTAGTACCTACTGCTACAAATGACAGAATGTTCTCCACTTTAAAATATTTAAAAACATATTTGCGCAATACTTGTAGCGAAGATCGGCTCAATGGACTCGCCCTGCTATATGTGTATTTACATATCGATATTACACCTGATGAACTCCAGAAGAAAGGAAGAATGATGGATTTTGTGTTGTAAATTTTTTTAACTTAGTACCTCATGCCCCCCCTAGAAAAGCATTCTAAATACGCCA